CGCTCATCAATTTACAGCACAAGATAATACTGGCTTTTTATCCATATTTATTTGCAATACTAATAAGCAAAGATCATTCTTCCCAGGAAAAACCATAAGCAAACCATGTAGATAATATTTACAAAAATATGCACTAATATATATAAGCCTAACAAATCTTATAAAATAATAACTATGATATAAGCTGTTGTACAGATGCCTTTAAATTCTACTCAAATAAAATTATTTCTCCAAACAATAAATAATTTTAAATGAATTACAGAGAGTTATTAATTTTTAGCAAGGAAACTCTGAAAGGACCCAAATTAGTAATTTTATAAATGTCTTTAGGATATAGTACATACTTAAAAGTTACATTAATGTTAAGTGGGCATTAAAAACAAATGAGTTGAGTTAAACTGCTCCATGCAAATTTTCAAAGGAGATATGCAACAGCTTTTTGCAGCCCTGCAAGATATGATTAAAACTTGTGATGGACGTAAGTGTGGTGGTGCATGCCTGTCATCACTTGGGAAGCTGAAGAAGGAAAATCAGAAGTCAAATATCATCCTTGGCTACAGAACAAGTTTGAAAATAGTCTGGGCTACATGAGACCCTGTCTCAAAAATAAATCAAAATAAAAAGCCTGTGGCTGGGAGGTCAGAGGCCCTGGAGGGAACCTATAAACTGTAGTGTTGAATATGTGTTTTCACACTGCCATCTAAATATCTACATTTATACCCACATATCAGTGCTGCTCTCAGCCTTGGTAGAGGTTCTTTTTACAGCACATAGTGGTTAATACTCATCTCTATATATTTCTATATTAACCCCTCCAAGGACCTTGGAGTACCCCCTGAAAAAGGAAGGTGGAAAAAAAATGTAAAAGCCAGAGAATAGGAAGGAATGCTGTAAAATGCTGCCTTCTAGACATGACAATCTGTACTCATAAAATCACAGAAGTTATGGGGACCTGCACCAGCCATACACAAGATGGGCCCAGTGTTCCATCACGAATGGGATACGTATCATTGTACATATATATTACTATACTCTTTTTGTCCCTAAACACCCTGTCCACCTCCTCCCTACTTTCTATCGACCTCAAATAGTTTCTTCTGGTTTTATATTGCACATATTGCAACTTGTCGCTTTTTGCCCTACCCCTTCAGTTAGACCTCAACTGTAGACAAAGTTCAACACCCTTTGTGATAAGAGCCACGAAGAAACTACGAATACGGGGCACACACCTCAGCACACTGAAAGCATTATGTATGGGGACTTAGAGTCTTCGCTGTTCTAAAGGGGAAAAAAACAAAAGTAATGAGAGAGAAGGGTCTTCACTCTCTCATTCAGTCTAGAAGAACTGAAAGTCTTAGCTAGAAAAACAACACAAGAGAAAAAAATAAAGGGGATACAAATTCGGGGGAGGGGAGACTTAAAAGACCCTGTAGACGCCACTAGAAAACTCTTAGATCTGATCAATATCTTGAACAAAAGAGCAGACACAAAAATCAATATATAAAATTAGCTTCTCATATGCCAATAACAAATACGCCAAGAAAGGAATCAACAAGACAATATCACTCACAATAGCTTAAAGAAAAAAAAAAAAAAAACCTAGAAATAACCTAAGGAGGTGATATACCTTTACACTGAAAGCTTGAAGACACTGAAGGAGGAAACTGAGGAACATCCTGGGTGATGGGAGAGGATCCAGCTGCTCATGGACCAGTAGATTGAAAGATGTGAAAGTGGCTTCGTGACCAAAATAGTCTACAGATCCCACAAAATCCTTATCATATTGCCAATGGAATTCCTCACAAAACTAACAAAGACAACCCTAACATTCACAGTGGAAGTGTCTACATTTTCTATTCTTTGTTCATTGGAAAGAAAAGAGGAAGGGGGTCGGAGGTAAGGGGGAGTGAAGAAGGAGAAGAAAAGAGGGAACAGAAGAGAAGGGGGATAAGGGGAAGGCAAAGTAGTCAAAGAGGAAAGAAATTAATGAAGAAGCAAGAGAAGCCGGAGAATACACGGTGACTATCCTGCTCAAGTCAAATCAGGCAAAGGGACAGAAGCTAAACCAAGAGTATACATAATATAATCCAAGGATGACGGCAATTTCTGCAACTGCAAAGACCAAACGGTATCATTACAAGGGTGCATTATCATTTCCAAGTTGGAATAATTAAAAAAATAAGTCTTGAGTGTAGGTATACAGGGAACTTATGAGGGATATGGGAGTGGACCAATCAGAAATCAAACAGCAAAGAAGCAGGCCATTCTGCTATGGATGGGCCCTGAGCACAGCGTCCATGTGTGTCAGCGGCTACTCGGGCTTCAGAACTGTTAGGGAAAACTGAACACGAAGCCAAGACGAAAGCAGTTGCTATGGCAACAGACTCCACTTACCAGATACCATGTGGTTCACTAATCTACCACAGAATGTTGGGATTTTCATGAAGGCAGTTGTCTAACTCAAACAATTAGTCTTTGTTACAACACTGAGGCCTTCTAATGTTTTCTTTAATGATGAGAAAAATATTCTAATTATTTATTCCCAGGAGGAAGAGATGGATGTCATAATTGCGTTTGTATAAAAATTGTTTTTAAAAAAAAATGCTACTGGATGCTATTTCAGTCACCAATAAAACAACATTAACATGAAGGAGCTGAAACATCCCCATCCCTAGTACAAGGGTAACTGGAGAAGAGTTGAGAGAAATCAAAAACCTCCATGAAAAATCACAGTAGATGGTTTAATAGAAACTTAGCAGACTTCAATTCATTCCCGAAAACACTGGAAATCATGGACCCTGATACTGAAAGGATTCTACTCAGAGAAGGGAATGTTTATCCTAAATTACCTGCTTAACAGCAAATCTATGGTAACAAAACCAAAACCAAAGTGAGCAAATAACCATGGGCATGCTTCCAAGGAAAGACCTCAACATGTCTAGGCTCCTCCAGAAGTATTCCAGGGTCCAGCATTGTTCTCAGGAGCCAACAACACCCTATGTTGTGGCTCTGTAGACCACCCAGTAGGTCAAGTTCAATAAACAGAAGGTACTGATAGTGATGTACTTAATGGGAGTGTCTTCTTTATTAACAAAGTAATTTATGAAGGTAAAAAAAAAAGTTTATTAAACAGGGTGTTGGTGCATGCCTTTAATCCCAGTATTTAGGAGGCACAGGCAGGTGGATCTCTATGAGTTCAAGGCCAGCCTGGTCTACAGAACAAATTCCTGGACAGCCAGGGGTACACAAAGAGAAACTCTGTCTCAAAAAACAAAACAAAACAAAATGAGTGTCGTTTAGGCTACTATTATAAAGGTCAAATATTTTTTTAAAAAAATAATTTACAAAATAAAAAGTTACAAGTTAAATATAATAAATTATATAATTAGAAACATTTTAAAATTAAATTTAGCAGTGCATAAGTGTGCCGTGTTTTAAAAAAAAAAAGCAAAATTCTAACAGTAGCATACAGTAGTCAGGCTTCAAATCACTCACCTCTCCTTTGCCAGATCAATTCCAGTCCAGCAAATTTATCCATAGAAAATGCTCTTCTCACGTGGACCATTTCCATCTTTTATTCTATATTTTTATATATTTAGATAAACACATGCCTTTCTTTGTGTTACACTTGCATTCAGCACAGGGACCTCCTAGATATACCTAGGTCTACTGACAGATACTTCTTGCCCTTCATTCTCATCTGAAGAATAGTCCTTCTGCAATACAGATCTGGTTCCCTTCCTCACTGTCCTTTATCAGCAAAGCTGAGGAAAAGTTCTTTTGCAGTATTAATAGAATCACAAAAGCCTAAGGGTGTCATAGCTGTCTCCTTTAATTCAACAGCTGAATGAGACAGATGAAAGAGCTACTGAGCAATGTACTTCAAATGCCAGACACGTACTGGCAGGAGCATAGATATAGTTCTAGTCTAGGAATAGCAGACTCTGCCACACAGCCAAGGTCTGTGGTAGGCTACACTCTCCCCAGGCTTACACTGAACATCAAGGCTGAAATTACCCAATGATGCAGTTCACAAGTAGCATCTTGTCTCTGGAAGATACATGACTGTGTTCCAAAATGCCCATACTTGATAACCCAAAACTCAGGCACCACTGTGCATCACAGAGGTATATGAGACTTTGATAGTCCTCTGAACCTGAAGTCTTAAAGCCACTGATACATAATATCAAACTATAATATCTCAGTCTGGGAGCGTAGTAACTCACAATCTAGATGACTTAGAGACGCTGTAACATCTTTTAGGCCACCAACCAGCTTCTAAATCATGACACTGGAGACCTATTACTATTTATGAATGCTCTGCCTTATCTTAGCTATTACTTTAATCTGTTTCTCTTCATCTACTTTTGCCTTGGGGCTCTTTACCTTTCTTTCTGTATGTCCTACTTTCTTGCTTCTCATGTCTGTCTGTCTGGCAGCTGCCTCGTTTCTGACCCCAGCTGTCTCTTTTTTTCTCTCTCATTCTCTTCTACTCTTCCCTCCCCGCACAAGCCTAGATTTCTCCTCCTACTTATTCTCTCTGCCTGCCAGCCCCGCCTATCCCTCTCCTGTCTAGCTATTGGACATTCAGCTTTTTATTAGACCAATCAGGTGCCTTAGTCAGGCAAGGTAAAAAACAGCAACACTTCTTTACATCATGAAACAAGTGCAGCAGAAACAAATGTAACACACCTACACGTAAAGCAATATTCCGAAACAGAGGGCTCAATTAACAAATAAATTTAAGACATTTATAGAAGTTATGAAAACCTTGGCAGCTGGCCTTTTGAGCTAAAATTTGTATTTTAAACAGAGATAGAAGAAAAAGAAGGAAGGGGTGGGTTGGGAAAGGCAAGAGCATGGTCAAGGTTACCTCTTGGGACTCAGTGCAAAGTAAATGACTTTCTTTCAGCTGAACTACATTTATTACTATAGTAATTACATAAAACACGAGGGGCATAGAAATCTAAGGACGTAATGCTGAAGTTATAAATACTGACCTCTGATATTAAATGTTCCTCTGAGCTCCTCTTCTCCATTCAAGAAACAAGAATAATTTCCCATTTGTTTGCTATTAAAAATGATGAACCTGGAGATAATTACAGTTATTAATACAACCTTACTTCTTACAAACATTTAACAAAAATGAAATCATTAATCCAAATTTTAAAACAGAGGTAATTCTGTAAACAGGAAAATTAGATTATTAGCATAACATTCAAATGACTGCAAAGGAAAAATCCTTAATCAGTAGAAAGTTGCATAGAAACTGGCTACAGCTGGCAGTGTATACCCTTATGTACATACCTGTACTGACTGTACAAGGTGTTTCCCACTTTAGTTGTGTTGAAAACATCAAAATTCTCAAGAAATACATCATCTTTTTTCCAAGTCACATTCACTGAATTCAAATCCCCAGATGTCGTGAACTGGCATATGAGTTCCAGGTCAGAAGGCCTTTCCAAAGTAATGTTTTTTTCTACTGGGGCGCTGGACTGTTCTGTTCATCAAAAAAGAACAAGAAAATGTGTTACGAAAAGTTATATTTGTAGGCAAATTCAATATGTAGCTCTGTATATATGAATACCTTTTATAAATAACACGTGTACAAACCACTTAAATTTTCAACAGCGGTCTATTGATAGATACTTAATGTCCTTCATTCGTCTGAAGAATAGTTCTTCTGCAATTCAGATCTGGTTCCCTTCTGGTTCCCTTCCTCACTGTCCTTTATCAGCAAAGCCGAAGAAAAGTTCTCTTGTGATATTAATAGAATCACAAAAGCCTAAGGCTGTCATAGCTGTCTCCTTTAATTCAACAGCTGAATGAGACAGAGGAAAGAGCCACTGAGCAACGTACTCCAAATGCCAGACACGCACTGGTAGGAGCATACGTAAACATTGATTTACCCCTGTGTGCTATCTCTGTCACTCTCCATAATCATAAAAACATGGAGAATTGTCTTGGCTATCCTGGGTTTATTGAATTTCCATATAAACTTCAAGATAATTTTTTTTTTTTCTAGCCAGGTACACGCCTTTAATCCTAGCACTTGGGAGACAGAGGCAAAAGAAATCTCTTGAGTTCAAGGCCATTCTGGTCTACAGAGCAAGTTCTAGGGCAGCCAGGGTTACATAGAGAAACCCTATCTTGGAAAACCAAAAGAAAAAAAGGTCTTCTTTTTTTTTTTTTTTTCCCAGTGTCTGTGACTAACTGCATTGAAATTTTGACGGTGAGTGCACAGAATCTGCAGACTGCCTTTGCTAGGTCGGCCGTTTTCACAACATTCATCCTACTAAACCATGAACATGGGAAGTCCTTCTATCTTCTGTCAATTTCTTCCCTCAGGGCCTTCAGATTTTCATTGTACAAGTTGTTCACTTCCTTGGTTAGATTTATTCCAAGATATTTTAATTTCCAAGGTTAATATTAGTGACATTGTTTCCCCAACTTTTTTTCTCAGTGTGTTTATCACCACTATATAGAAAAACTACTGATTTTTTTTTGTTTGTTTTAACTCTGTATCCTGCTACTTTGCTGAATGTGTTTATCCAGTGTAGTTTTCTGGCAATCTTTATGGTCTTTTGAGAATCATGTCATCTGCAAATAAAGTACTTGGACTTCTTCCATTCCTGATGTATGTATCTCCTTCATCTCTTTCACTTAACATCAAGTACTATGTTGAACAGGAGAACAGGGGAGCCTTTCTATGTATGTCCTTGTCTTATTCCTGATTTGGGTAGAAATGCTTTTTCTCTGTTTAGGATCATGTTGGCCTATGTCAGGTATGGGTGACCTCTATTGGAGTGTTGGCCAGTGACAAAGACTATCATCATTGCTCTTGGTTATGCTCCAGAGCTTGAAAATAAAATCTTATCGCTGAGGATATATATCCTATATTTGAGTCATGAAATTAAAAAAAAAAAAAAAACAGCTGGCATTGACCTGGAAGCTTCACCCCTACTGGCTGGCTTTCATAGTGCTGAAAGGTGCTATGCATGCTCTGACTGGAGGAGGAGAGAAATCAATCTGGTCCAGCTGTGGAAGCTGCAGGCTACAATTACAGCCAGCCTGGCAGGATGTACCAACTGGGACAACAGTGGCATGAATATGATGGCAGTAACCAGTGGCTGAGTGACAAGATTTAAGGCCTGCTCCTCAAAATGAAACCTATACCTGGTACCATCATCAGGTCCAAGAATCTGTAGCTACACAAAGTAGAGGCTCTAGGCGAGAACCTACTACTCTCACTCTGCCAATGGGGCACAGTGCTAAACTTGCTCCCTATGGAGTCTCATTACCCTTGTGCTGGTCTGAAAGATAAATATCTCCCCCTCATCTGGTCTCCAGCCAGTAGAGACCTTGCTGGGGTCAACATGTCACCAACGGTGGGCTGTGAGAGAATGTCACTGTGCCCTGGGAACACAAGACTTTATCCCTGGCCCCTTTCTATTAACCTTCCACTTTCCTGACCACAAGTGAGCAACTTCATTCCAATTCATTCTTCTGCTATGATGTTCTGCCTGACCGTGACCCAGAAACAATGGAGCCAGCCAAACCTCTAAGAGCAGAGGCAAAATAACTCCTTCCTCCTGTAAGGTGTTGCTCTTATGTATTTATCACAGAAAGATATTATCTAATATATTAATAAAAATATGAATACACAAATATACATACATGTGCTTTTGAAGTGGTCCAGAATATAACAACAAAAAACTTATTATAAACAAAGAGTAATTGAGCAGGGCAGTGGTGGTGCCTGCCTTTAATCCCAGCACTTGGGAGGCAGAGGCAGGTGGATCTCCGTGAGTTCGAGGCCAGCCTGGGTGAGTTCCAGGAAAGGCCCAAAGCTACACACAGAGAAACTCTGTCTCGAAAAATCAAAAAAAAAAAAAAAAAAAAAAAAAAGCATTTGAGTGCCTGAAATCTTTTAAGTAGGCAGTGAGCCTTCCCAAAACACTCAGAATGACTTGCTTGTCGAGAAAGTCCCCTCCTCGGGGCAAAGGAACACTCAGTAACGGGGAATTCTTACATCATGCCTGAATCTACCTGGCCACACAACTACCACGTGTCCTATCGTTTCTCCTACAGATGATTTATGTTTACAAAAGTCCTTCTTCCTTTCCAGTAAATGACTTTTCTCTCCCTCTTCTTCTGCTCTTAAGATGTTAAACACATAAATGTGGAGAAAATGATGTTAAACAAAATGTCCAGGACGAGAATTTAAACTGAAACCATTTATTTGTGTAGACCAGAGAAATGCTAACTTTATACAAGAACAGAGTGGACCAGAATCCCAGTTGGCTTTCTGTTGCTGGGATAAAACTTTCTGACCAAAAGCAACTTCAGGAAAGAATGGGTTCATTTGGCTTATAGATTATATCCATCCTCCACGGAAGCCAAGGTAGGAACCAGGCAGGAACTGAAGCAAAGACCACAGAGGAATGCTGCTTACTGGCTTGCTCCTCCGGGCTTGATCAGCTTGTTTTCCTATAAAACCTAGTACCATCTATCCAGAGATAACATCTCCCATATCAATGACCAATAAAGAAAATGCCTCCCAGATCCACCCACCGGCCAATCCAAAGCTGGCAACTCCATCACTGAGGTTCCTCCTCTCTCCTCACTCTAGTTTGTATCGAGTTGGCAAAAATCCAACAACACGAATAGCATTATCAGAGGCTGAGAAGGGTGGGTGCGAGGGGAGGGCATAGGACAGTTAACAGGTATAGTGGTATGTATGCATAGATACTCTAATGCTCTATACGTGAAGATGATAATCGCAAGATACAAGAAACTGTGCACCTCATAACGGCTACCAGATTTTGAATTCTCCCAAAACATGACGTATGTTTGAGGTGGGGACGGATTTGCCAGTTACCCTAACTCGATTATCCTGTACTGTGAAAAGGTCTCTTAAGAAGCCATATTCACACTGAAGAACATCTAGACCAGTTGACTCTGGCTGATTAGAACACCATCTGTCCATCTGCACAGGTAGAGTTTGCAAATCCAAAGGCAAAGTTATGTGGGGCCAGCTTTATTTCCTTCAGTAACCACTCACTAGCCACCGCTGCATTTGACCTAGCAGCCCTGTGACTTCTAGATAAAAATCTTAGATGGACAGTGAATCTTGACCCACTGCTGGTCTCCACCAACATGAAAATTAAGAATAGAGTAACATGAGAATCCTAGCAAAGACGCCCACCCCACTCTGATAATAAGTCTCTAGCTGATGGCTCCATCAATGTTATAGGAAATACATTGGCTCATGGCTTTCTTTTGTTCTGTGACCTCAGAAGTTTATATATTTTCTTCCACCAGGGAATACTTCATTTCTGGTAACTTGAATCTGTATTCTAGGCCACCATGGTCTCTCACAGCTGTCTCCAAAAAAAAAAAAAAAAAAAAAATGAAGTATTTCCTTTAAAGCAGAGTTGTTATTTTAAATTGACAGTATATGCATACCGAAATATCTCCCTGTATCTCGTAAGCTGTATGATTATTCTACCAGTTAATGTTTCTAACTTCAAAAAAGATTGTGCATGATACAAATCCTAACTGCTCCCTTAAGTCACTCTTTTCCAGTGACTACGATAATTATAATTAAACCTATCTCTTTCTTTAGCAATCTGTCTTTGGTTGGTTGATTTCCAGGAACTTAAGAAGGTAAAGATCTTCCTTCCTACCCATAAATCTGGCTACATAGATGAGATAAATAGGACTCTTGACCAGAGTCTGTAGCTAGTAAGTCAAGACCTCAGACCAAGGCAAGGTTTATTTAGTGGTGTGGGAGAGCTCCGTGGTGGCCAGTTGGTAATGTTGCACTTAGATATCCATTTGCCTGTAGGAGCACTCCAGTGAAAATACCAAAACAAACCTGTGTCTTGTTTCTAACTATGCGACTAACTAATCAAACGAAAGGGAGAGGAAATTTTCCCCTTGTGGAGTCTCAGCAAATCAGTAAGAAGAAAATGACACACCCACTGAACTCCAGTCAAGGCGTTCTCTATCAGCCAGCCTGGCCAGCTCAGACCCAGACCCACGGTGTAAGAGCACCCACCAACTCCTCCACACCTGGGAGGAAGCTGGAGGGGGACGGGAAAGGTTCTGAAATGGACTCTCTGATTTCCGGTTACTGGAAGTAGAGACAAAAAGCTTATTAAACTGTACCCCAGGAGAGCCGTCAATGAAATCTAGATTGTGAAGACCTCCTGCAGGATGCAGGATCGGGTTCTTTCCTGCAGGTAAGTTAAAAATGGGAGAAGCAATAGGTTTCGGAAAGCTGGGGTGATGCATACCTTAAATAAAAAAAAAAAAAGAATAAAATGTTTTGTTTTGTTTTTTTAAAGCTAAATAGTATGTGAGTTCCAGGACAGCCAGTGCTACACAGAGAAACCCTGTCTGGAACTCACACTCCACAAAAGCTAAATATTGTACTTGGGGGTGTCCTATTTACTGTCCTTGGGAAATGAAAGGTTATAGAAAAAGAAGGAAGGTCTAC